ACGTTTCAATATACGATCAGCTACACTATTATAAAAACACTTTCTGTTTAGGGTTTGATGAAAGTGTAACAGATGCTCATAATATCCACGTTCAACAAAATCAATATCTCTTACACATCTCCTACCTTTTACATTTTAATCGTGCAGATTAGGGGCTTCTAAGTCAGAATGTTCTACCGCACACACATTCACAAGATACACAACGCGGTTACTTTCCTGATTTATGTTGTAAAGGTTTTGGATGTTGTTATTTTCCTAACGTTAGGAAACTCATACTAAGGTTAATGAGCTATATTCAGGATAACGCAATTATAACTGTAACGTTCGGTATACCTCGTTCAAACGTGTTTCTCTACTTATCTGGCATTTGGTAGACATCGTTCGGAATGCCTCGTTGATACATGTTCATGTTTGTGACATTCTGTCTGTAGTTATATAAACAACCACGAAAACACACCGTGCTTATCTCCACCTGATGCGCGTGTTGATGTGACATGGTCGACCTCTCCAATTTGATATGAATACAGATTTTAAACCTGAAATTTCATTGACCCGGTAGTGCAAATAATTTCGGAAGGTGTTTTCATAGCAATGTCTCAAAAATAGACTAAAGCTGTGCTGAAGGCGGTGAATGATGGATTTATCTGTTTGTTGAATTTTGCACTAATTTCTCTTTAGGCAAGGGAAGATAACTCTGCTCAAAAACACGTGTAGCGTCAGCAACGTTAACATAATTGTTTGAAAGATTTTAATGATTGGAAGTAGGGAAGATAAGTAAAAAAATTATACTTAGGTAAACATACATCTGAATTTGCATACATGACAAGCGTCTTACATTTATCACAAATATACCTTAAAGGAGTATTGATGTAAAACGCGAAAAAATTACCACTATTGAGGTTGAATTCTTATTGTTTAAAGGCAATTTGTTGGACGTCTTTCCCATACACAGATAATCTATAAGAAATATCAAACAGGACATCTACCCCTTTGTTATGCCTATATTTCGGGTGAGTGATTAAGCTACAACAATTGAAAGCACTGTGCTGTAGCCAACAAAAAGAAATGTTTTGAACACAAATCCTTTCAAATGACATTTAGATATTTTTGGTAATGACACTTTATATTTTCATCAGTCGCAAGCTTCACTTTGTAACTAACCAACCTGTTGTAATACAGTATCCCATCAAGGCAAAATCGGCCACAATCTAAAATCTTCTTTAAACTCATTAACAAAGATATAAACAAAGGTGATTCCGTGGCCCATTGTCCTGCAATGACCTACAGCATGCCTGATAACAATTGTGCATTGAAAACAAAGTTTAAGTCAGTCATTCCTATTTTCGGCCTTTACTTTTTTATCACTAAAATCACAATAGTATTTAAAGATTTTCCATGTGAAATTTTGTATCTAAGTGAAAATATAGAGTTGTTTTTATTTAACTTTGCCGCATGCAGACAAGAAAAGACTTAAGCATGTAAAGCGACGATAAAACGATTTAATTTACTATTTTCATTATTACATGTACATTTATATGTCAAGTAAATATCAGTGCTGAAAAACGGGATTTCTTTTACTGTTTCACTACTGTCGCTGTCATTCCTTCCCGCCATCATGTGTTCTTGTGTACTAAATGGCTGCCTCGTTTTCAAAACTATTACGTAAAGTTATTAGCGCTAAATTTGAGAGGGGGTTTCCCAAACCAAAGAAGCGGTCAAGCTGGATATTGGAAATCGACTGTGAATATCGGGATAACAAAGAAACGTGACTAGATATACATATAGAACACATACAATTAATAACAAAATTAATGCTTTATCGTCATGTCCTTTCAAATTCATTGTCAACAAATCTTCGCATTGGATGTGTGAAACGATGTTTATTCCAAAATGTGTGCTTCAAGTATCCGTTCCGTGTTACTAGATTGCAAAACAATCTACATTTGTTGCATTACGGAACATTGTACAGTCATGATATAACCTTGTATTAAATCTACCTTAATAAAAATAGGTATATAAAGAGAACTAAAAAATGATGGTCGCTGTCAGACATTAACAACAGGACATGGAGAAAGTGCATATAATTACAGGCGATGTCGGGGTAGTCGATGTACTGTTAGCTTAATGGCAATCTTGGCAATTTCTCAATTAAATTAATGACAGATACACTTTAACATGATTATAGTTTTAATGAATTGTTAACATTCTAACCTTTCAGGAGTTGTCGGAAGCCAATTCTTTCTCTATCCAACATAACATTAAAAATCAAAATTTATTTCATTAATTGTCACCTAAGTGAGGAAGTGAGGATGACTCACGCCTAATTTTTGTCTTTACTTTCAGCGTCAGACTTATAAATGACGTACATATAACTAGGTTAGCTGACAGTTACGACATTACGAACTGCAATACAACAGTAACATTATCTCTAGACTGCATACAAAAACTTGGACAAAATCGCAAGTCATGTTTTAGTCATCACTCTGGAGAGTATTGGCTACTTTTTTATGTTTGAAAGGCGCGTTAAAGTTGAATAGACCGTATCTGATATCGGAAAACCCTACGGTTCCGGTTCACCAGCTACAGATGGAAACCTTCTCGTACAGTTTTACTGGGACTAAGGTTTTCTGAAGTGTAGTGTGATGAATGATTCCCGTAAATTTTATATGATTGTCAACACAGTAAGTGCATCTGTAGTTTGCATTAAAGCTGTTCTATTAAAAGAAACAACAACTCCGAAATCCAAGGGTTCCATTTTTATATCAGTATCTGTTGAATTCGACCTGAAGGACGAAAACAGGTAAAATAAAATACAATCACTCGAATCTGTCAAAGGATCTAAACATGATTTGTCATTTAACAGATGTTTAGGTGACTCAGCGTGATGGGAACTTATTTCTGATAAAATGTAGATATATTAAACTCCATTTTTCATTGACTGTCATGTAAAACGTTTAATCAAAACACATTAAACCTGTCAGAATGACTGACAATATTACTACTCTATGAGGACGTGTGTGAGGTGGGCGTCGGCAATCTCTGTGATATTTGTAATATCGAGGAATGTAGGTATAGGTATATATAAATCAATAAAGTGTTTGATGATAACTTATACTGAGGTCGATCGCGGTTTATATATTCCTTTCTAGTTACGCCCCTTAGTATTAGGTCAATGAAGTTTCCTGAATTAATCTCCTGAGAATGTCTGACATACTTGAACTGTGTGCTTGAGGAAAAATAGTGTTTTGTCACGGAGGTGATGATCAAGAAAGCGACCTCAGGATGGTCGGCCCGTTGATGAGACCCCAGGGTGACGGCCCGTTGGTGAGACCCAAGGGTGCCCAGCCCGTTGGCGAGACCCCAGGGTGACAGACCATTGGTGAGGCCCCATGGTGGTCGGCCCGTTGGCGAGACCTTAGGGTGGTCAGCCCGTTGATGAGACCCCAAGTGTGGTCGGCCCGTTGGTGAGACCTCAGGGGTGGTCGGCCAGTTGGTGAGACCCCAGGGTGCCCAGCCCGTTGATGAGACCCCAAGGGTGGTCGGCCAGTTGGTGAGATCCAAGGGTGATCGGCCCGTTGTTGAGACCACAGGATGCCCAGCCCGTTGATGAGACCCCATAGTAGTCAGCCAGTTGGTGAGACCCCAGGGTGCCCCGCCCGTTGATGAGACCCCAAAGTAGTCAGCCAATTGGTGAGACCCAAGAGTGGTCGGCCAGTTGGTGAGACCCCAGGGTGCCCAGCCCGTTGATGAGACCCCATAGTAGTCAGCCAATTGGTGAGATCCACGGGTGGTCGGCCCGTTGTTGAGACCCCAGGTTGCCCAGCCCGTTGATGAGACCCCATAGTAGTCGGCCAGTTGGTGAGACCCCAGGGTGCCCAGCCCGTTGATGAGACCCCATAGTAGTCAGCCAGTTGGTGAGACCCCAGGGTGCCCCGCCCGTTGATGAGACCCCAAAGTAGTCGGCCAGTTGGTGAGACCCAAGGGTGGTCGGCCAGTTGGTGAGACCCCAGGGTGCCCAGCCCGTTGATGAGACCCCATAGTAGTCAGCCAGTTGGTGAGACCCAAGGGTGGTCGGCCAGTTGGTGAGACCCCAGGGTGCCCAGCCCGTTGATGAAACCCCAAATTAGTCGGCCAGTTGGTGAGACTCCAGGGTGCCCAGCCCGTTGATGAGACCCCATAGTAGTCAGCCAGTTGGTGAGACCCTAGGGTGCCCAGTCCGTTAATGAGACCCAAGGTAGTCGGCCCGTTGGTGAGACCCTAGGGTGCCCAGCCCGTTGGTGAGACCCCAGGTTGCCTGTCCGGTTGGTTAGAACAGACAATATCTACGTTATGTGAATTGGTTTTATTTCAAACGGAATGCAGTTTGCTTGTATATTACCGATACGTAGTTTAATTATCGTGTGAAATAAATAATTTTGTACATCAACTTGATAACGGAGTTGTACATAATTTATAACAAACTGGCACAGTCTAACTACCAGGGGTCGACACAGACCGAATTTCGGAGCTAGCGACAACTCATTTCGGACATTTAGATAAGGGAATCAAATATTCTTATCGGTGAAGTCTCGTTGAAGTGATTGAAATGGTTTGTTTGTTCGGTCTATTGAGAATATTACATCTTTGTTTACAGTTAATAACGACATAAACATCAACACAAGTAAACTTATTAAGATAGCTGATGTTGTTGTAGTGACATAAAAACAAACCTCTGTCAACATTGTATATTATATATAGATAGTTGTATGTAGAATATTCAATCTCTAACCTTTTTATCTCGAACTCGGCGGGACATTGGAAACTTTCGAGATAATTGAGTATCTATTAAAGGGAGTTGGAATGTTTTGTGAAAGTTAGGGACCGATGAAATGATTCAAATTAAGCGGATCTTCGAATTGTACTAGTTCGAGATAACGGAGTTCGACTGTATATTCAAGCAGAGATAGTGTTATGGATAAATCAATACTTGGCGGTATTTTTATTATGACCTTCTGTTACAGGTTTGCTGATTGGATCTGGCGTAGGGATATACCCTAATGGTTGGGACAGTTCAGAGGTACAGCAAGCGTGTGGTTATACGTCACAGCCGTATTACATGGGTAAGTTTATCACTCCGCCTGACCTCAATACAGCAAATATTCCCAAATTACACTCGATTATTTGTCGTTGCATGTCTATCTTTTTCACAATAATATCTCCACTGTTTTGTTTGGTTTCTATCACATTCTACCATTCCCATCGCGTTACAGAATATGTTACCATCAAGAATGGGTCGTCAGAAAGGCTAAGTTGTCGTAGGCGCATGAACCTCCAACAACCTCATCATCCACTCAGTTAACTAGATTGAAACTGGAATGGTCAGTTATTTACCCTTGAACACACAATTTCCAGCTGATTGACCTCGATATATACTTCATGCGGAATTTACGAAGTAGCCTTTCTTAGAGGGCAAAAGCCCTACCTAAATAGCAAACATTAGACGATATCAAAGGAAACATTAGGAAGGAACGGTTTTTAGGGACGAATAGAAACTAGTAAGATGTCAGGTTAACTCCTGCGATTATACAACAGGAAGAGTAACGCCCTAGAAAGAACATAAACATACTGACATGTTAAACGGAATTTTAATTCAAAGTCAAATAGAAGAAACGAGGGTAAATTATGAACAAAAGACAGTACATTAATTATTAATTAATAATACCAGATGTTCCGGAAGAGTATGCGTCTTCCGCTAAATTTACAGAATACATAGGATAGAATGGGATATAAAGGTAGTCAATATATCACATAATTACAGTATGTATCTTTATGTACTGTGATCTCTTTGTGTCCCCAATAAAAGGATACATAGAAACCCTCTGTTTCATTTAGGACTTCAGTAATAGTCTCATACAATCACACGCTGGGGAAAAAGTCGGACAATTGTGGTTTTAATGCTTCCGAGCTGCAGGAACGAAATTGAATAAAGCATGCAGAGAAAAACAATATATGTAATTTATGGGGCAGACAGTGTTGACGTAGGTAATTACCATTAGTGGGAGTCATAAAGCATGCCAGCCCGACCTTTTTTGTTTCGTAGATAGCTGTACAACAGGAAATTGGTCTATTCTGACTTAATAAAAACTGGTGTTGTTCTATCGATTTTCCGACCGTCCCACAAATCACCCTGCATGGCGTTCCTGGTGGAACGTCCGTGAAGATTAGGTAATGGTACGTTAATACGCTTTGCCACTGTCTGTTCAGCTCACGAGCATCCGCGACCTGACTGGGCCAACACTTGGTATAACAGCACGTACACATTAAAGGTTTGAGTTTCAGGAGATCGATACTTTAAAATCAGCCAGCGTGTAATGGTCTACAGTCACTAATCAACCAATTTTACGATCACACAATTACCGCGTAAATTAGCATTATAGCACAAATCCAAGAGCATCGCAACTGTCGGAGGAGTTTGGAAAAATATGAAGACTGATAAAAGTTTTGCCGTCCTCTGAAACAAACAGACGTCATTGCATCTTATCAGCGACACAAGCAAATGTTAGATCTGAAATGTTTAAAATTCTACAGTTGATCTAGTGTTAACGTCTAAGACGCCAGTGATTCAGTTAATCTCTGTCTTCCATCTTGTTTAATTTTAAAGTTTTATTTTGGTATTTTTGTTATGTTTAACAAGATTTTTGCCAAACTGTTGGACAGACATTTTCACAGTAAACATGATTTTTAATTACCTTGGTGCTATAAGTAAACACGGCAGTTGAGAATTTCTGTTATGATACCAGTCTAATGTAAAGCTTGATGTAACAGCGATCTCACCACACTCTACTGGTGTTGATAATCCAGAATCAGGAGATGGATATCATTTGGTCGGTAGATTTATCAAACAACTGAACGGTACAAAAATGATTATCTCAACATGCATTAACCTTTATACTTCCGCATACGTGTTTTGATAAGTTTGTTAACTCGTTTTCAGAATAATGAATACTGTTAACTTGAGGTCTCCGAAAAATTCAAACTTGTTCGGTGAACATTTCAAACGCTGAGATGTGCAGATATTGTTTTCCTCTTTATTATGTTGTGAAATAGAAAAAGTTTTCAGTTCTAAACAAGAATAAAATACCGAATATCTAGCATGTTACTTATTCCAACTATCTGTGTTACCCACCTGTTAAACCATCAATCGTCCATGCGAAAGAATTTAGCCATCTAGGTCAACACATAACGTTAGCGTCTGAGAGAAGAAAACATAGGATTGGGAAGGATATGTTATATGGATGGAATAGATATAGGGAGACAGAATAGATATAGAGAGATAGAATAGATATAGGAGATAGAATAGATATAGAGGATAGAATAGATATAGAGGATAGAATAGATATAGGGGATAGAATAGATATAGGGATATAGAATAGATATAGGGGATAGAATAGATATAGGGGATAGAATAGATATAGGGATATAGATATAGATATAGGAGATAGAATAGATATAGGAAATATAATAGATATAGAGGATATAATAGATATAGGGGATATAATAGATGTAGGGGATAGAATAGATATAGGATAGAATAGATATAGAGGATAGAATAGATATAGGGAGATAGAATAGATATAGGGGATAGAATAGATATAGAGGATAGAATAAATATAGGGAGATAGAATAGATATAGAGGATAGAATAGATATAGGGGATAGAATAGATATAGGGAGATAGAATGGATATAGGGGATAGAATAGATATAGGGATATAGATAGAATAGATATAGGGATAGAATAGATATAGGGGATATAGATAGAATAGATATAGGGAGATAGAATAGATATAGAGGATAGAATATATATAGGAGATAGAATAGATATAGAGAGATAGAATAGATATAGGAGATATAGGAGATAGAATAGATATAGGGAGATAGAATAGATATAGGGGATAGAATATATATAGATAGAATAGATATAGAGGAGAATAGATATAGGGAGATAGAATAGATATAGGGGATAGAATATATATAGGAGAATAGAATAGATATAGAGGATAGAATAGATATAGAGGATAGAATAGATATAGGGAGATAGAATAGATATAGGGGATAGAATATATATAGGAGAATAGGAGAATAGAATATAGGGAGATAGAATATATATAGGAATATATAGAATAGATAGATATATATAGGATAGATAGAATAGATATAGAATATATAGGATAGATAGGGAGATATAGATATAGGGAGATATATATAGAGATAGAATATATATAGGAGAATAGAATAGATATAGGGGATAGAATAGATATAGATATAGGAGAATAGAATAGATATATGAGATAGAATAGATATAGGAGATAGAATAGATATAGGGATATAGAATAGACATAGGGACATAGAATAGATATAGAGGATAGAATAGATATAGGAGATAGAATAGATATAGGGGATAGAATAGATATAGGGATATAGAATAGACATAGGGGGATAGAATAGATATAGAGGATAGAATAGATATAGGGGGTAGAATAGATATAGGGATATAGAATAGATATAGGAGATAGAATAGATATAGGGATATAGAATAGATATAGGGGTAGAATAGATATAGAATAGATAGAATAGATATAGGGATATAGAATAGATATAGGGAGATAGAATAGATATAGGGAGATATAATAGATATAGGGAGATAGATATAGATATAGGAGATAGAATAGATATAGGAGATAGGATAAAGGAGGATAGAATATATATAGGGGATAGAATAGATATAGGGAGATATAATAGATATAGGGAGATAGAATAGATATAAGGGATAGAATAGATATAGGGGATAAATAGATATAGGGGATAGAATAGATATAGGGAGATAGAATAGATATAGGGGATAGAATAGATATAGGGGATAGAATAGATATAGATGATAGAATAGATATAGGGAGACAGAATAGATATAGAGGATATAATAGATATAGGGAGATAGAATAGCTATAGAGGATAGAATAGTTATTGGGGATAGAATAGTTATAGGGGATAGAATAGATATAGGGAGATAGAATAGATATAGGGATAGAATAGATATAGGGAGATAGAATAGATATAGGGATAGAATAGATATAGAGGAATAGATATAGAGGATAGAATAGATATAGGGATAGAATAGATATAGGGAGATAGAATAGATATAGGAAGATAGCATATATATATTAGATAGAATAGATATAGGGGATAGAATAGGGGATAGAATAGATATGGGAGACAGAACAAATTCAATTAATATAACACTCTCCAGTATGTATTATTTGGGTATATCTAGTAAAATTAAATGAATGTGACAATGCTTATTAGAGATGTTATTTGTGTGTGCAGTATATAAAGTTGTATATTATGTGTGTTTGTGTTTGTTATGTCAAGTGATAAGTTGTGAAAACTTTAATAAAGAAACTGAACCCTGAACGAACATATTTCTTTGTCTGTCTGGGGTTCTGGCAAATTCCCCTGGTCATTTTCTGTATAAAACGAAGCGCTGTGAAGAGTGTGAGGATATGGTATGGTTTTATTTCTGTGTGTAGATTTAGACAGAAAAGCAGCCATTTTCAATCTGTTACTGGTATGAGCCATTCTGACGATGCTTTCCAACATTTGTACGACTTCCTATCTCTATCCGCTATCACCAGACATTCCCTCAATGGTACGTACGGGCTACAAACCGAGACGTAACATTAGCCGAGAAATCATTCAGAGGAGGTATCTATACAGACAAATCACCAAACTTCAAAGTCATAGTTTTAACAATGAATGTACACGACCCTTGTGGTTTCTTCGAAAATCCAAAGAATTGCAAAAAAGTGAGGTTGGTCTGTTAGATAAATATAAGCGTCTCATTGACATGATTAGTGTAGCGGATACAGCATTCTGACAAGCGTTCAGTAGACGAATACTAGATCAGATACCTTTCAACCACCGTATATAACTCAGAACCTGTAGACTCACTACATGTTACTAACTAATAAGTATTCGAGGAATATTTGTTGCTAGGTGCTAACAAAGATACTAATCCGTTACATCTTACATTGAGTAATATCAATTGATTGTTATTATGGACAACTGAAGAAATACTTATTGGTTGCCACGCGAATGTAGTAATCATGCTTATTTGTTGATGGACTCAAGTAGGTATACTAATTTGTTACTACACACCTGTAGGTATACTAATTTGTTACTACACACCTGTAGGTATACTAATTTGTTACTACACACCTGTAGGTATACTAATTGGTCACTAGACACCTGTAGGTATACTAATTTGTTACTACACACCTGTAGGTATACTAATGTGTTACTAGACACCTGTAGGTATACTAATTTGTTGCTAGGCACTTGTAGATATATTAATTTGTTACTGGACACCTGTAGGTATACTTATGTGTTACTAGACATCTGTAGGTATACTTATGTGTTACTAGACACCTGTAGGTATATTAATTTGTTACTACACACCTGTAGATATACTTATGTGTTACTAGACACCTGTAGGTATATTAATTTGTTACTAGACACCTGTAGGTATACTAATTCGTTACTAGACACCTGTAGGTATATTAATTTGTTACTAGACACCTGTAGGTATACTAATTCGTTACTAGACCCCTGTAGGTATATTAATTTGTTACTAGACACCTGTAGGTATACTAATTCGTTACTAGACACCTGTAGGTATACTAATGTGTTACTAAACACCTTTATGTGTACTGGTCAGATATTAACTTTTACAAGGGACTTTGAAAAAATGCGTTTAGAGTTCAAATAGAAAAAAAGTTCTTGTAATACAACCAGTAGAATATTAGATTGTAAGAACTATAAGGTGACCGTGTAGTCATCGAAACGTCACACTCTAATCTTCTACTGGTTGTGTTATAAGATGAAGGTGACCGTGTAGTCATCGAAACGTCACACTCTAATCTTCTACTGGTTGTGTTATAAGATGAAGGTGACCGTGTAGTCATCGAAACGTCACACTCTAATCTTCTACTGGTTGTGTTATAAGATGAAGGTGACCGTGTAGTCATCGAAACGTCACACTCTAATCTTCTACTGGTTGTGTTATAAGAACTATAAGGTGACCGTGTAGTCATCGAAACGTCACACTCTAATCTTCTACTGGTTGTGTTACAAGAACTATAAGGTGACCGTGTAGTCATCGAAACGTCACACTCTAATCTTCTACTGGTTGTGTTATAAGAACTATAAGGTGACCGTGTAGTCATCGAAACGTCACACTCTAATCTTCTACTGGTTGTGTTACAAGAACTATAAGGTGACCGTGTAGTCATCGAAACGTCCCACTCTAATCTTCTACTGGTTGTGTTTTAAGATGAAGGTGACCGTGTAGTCATAGAAACGTCCCATTCTAATCTTCTACTGGTTGTGTTATAAGATGAAGGTGACCGTGTAGTCATAGAAACGTCCCATTCTAATCTTCTACTGGTTGTGTTATAAGATGAAGGTGACCGTGTAGTCATAGAAACGTCCCATTCTAATCTTCTACTGGTTGTGTTATAAGATGAAGGTGACCGTGTAGTCATCGAACCGTCACACTCTAATCTTCTACTGTTTGTGTTATAAGATGAAGGTGACCGTGTAGTCATCGTCACACTCTAATCTTCTACTGGTTGTGTTATAAGATGAAGGTGACCGTGTAGTCATCGAACCGTCACACTCTAATCTTCTACTGTTTGTGTTATAAGATGAAGGTGACCGTGTAGTCATCGTCACACTCTAATCTTCTACTGGTTGTGTTATAAGATGAAGGTGACCGTGTAGTCATAGAAACGTCCCATTCTAATCTTCTACTGGTTGTGTTATAAGATGAAGGTGACCGTGTAGTCATAGAAACGTCACATCTAATCTTCTACTGGTTGTGTTATAAGATGAAGGTGACCGTGTAGTCATCGTCACACTCTAATCTTCTACTGGTTGTGTCATAAGATGATGGTGACCGTGTAGTCATCGTCACACTCTAATCTTCAACTGGTTTTGTCATAAGAATTTCTATTCTATTGACATTACAAACCTGAGGAAAATGTCCCGAAATACGCCAGTAGTTTGTTACTAGCCACATGGAGAAGTTGTTGAGGCACTAGACACGTTTAGGATTCTAATTAGTTGCTATGCTACTGCATACTGATATGTTTTGTTGCTAGGAATATGTTGAGAAATAAACACAAGTTGCTCTACTTTATATCCCTGAACCTTGACTCTGTAGTAGTTTTGATATTAATTGTAATATTTAATAAAGATAAAAGTATTTATATATCCCCAATCCGTGTCTCCTCATCCTCTCGACTTTACACATCTAACTGTTATCATTAACTCAGTGTGTTACATACGTTTATAAACAGCATGATACGATCTGTGTGCCCTCTGATGCAAACGAGGACCTTAATAAGGACCGGAGTAGGGGATCAGTCACACACGAGAGGTTTTATAGAGTAAATGATTTGTCAGCTTGTATATAAAACGGGAGATGTTTATACTGACAATGCATGACATCTATCCCTGATGTTGGCACGAAAGATAAGTTTGTAAGAGGTTGTCTAACATTTGTAATTATGTTATTTTTACACACCACATCTCTGGTTAATATTTAACCTTTACTTATTACCGACCAGTGTGAAGGTTTATCTCCACGAGATGTGTTGTGTGATCGTATCTCTGGTGGAAGCTATGTAACCCAGAGATGTATGTCTACAAAACGATAGCTTTGGGCTGTTATGTTAGGAAACAGGACAGCATCATTATATGTAAAATGATATACTCAGATATAAAACGTCAACTCAGAAACAGCGATGTTCTGTTGTAGAGTGATAAGATACAATTCTCTAGGCTCTTCATTTTTACAGACAAGTGTTAATTTTAAAATAACGTATTTTTTTGTAATTTCTTTTATTTTGATTGTATTTTAATGGAAATATTTAAAAGAAACAAAATAAATTTTATAAAGGAAAGATTTCGGGTTTTTTGAGATATTTAATTTGAATCCTCAATTTATGTTTCAGGGGAGTGCACTCTGTTTTGGTCGTTCTACCTGACGGCAGCCGGTGCCGCTGTGACCTTGATTGGTTCAGCAATGTCATGTCATGCAAGCAAACGAAAGTATGGCCACGCCTCTTACGCTGATATGTGATAACACCAGTCCATTGTGCACAAGTCACCGTGACGGTTTCCTGTCTTTGGATTGGTGTCTCGTCTCCCGAAAAGCATTTTTCAGCATCATCCTTTGGGACCAACGCAGATATTGCAAGATGTTTTTGGACAATTTGTCAAAACATTGGATATTTATTAGGGTAATGCCGACACGTTCCTGTCGCATGAAAGGCGGGTCTTCCATAACACGTTTCTTCCCCCTTAACGAAGTTTTGATGTTGAGCGGAAGTGACCGAGTCTTTCCGATGTGCTGAAAATGTGATACCAGATAATTCTTTAACAGACTTCACCGTGTCTACTAGTGTAATGACGTCGAGAAGGACAATGCAATTTTCTCGCTTTCCATTAAGGAAGATGATCGATGTTGCCCAGTTGAGCAACGATAGCATTGATAAGTACAAGCAATACCATTGAGATGATTACTTGGTGCTAGAGATTTGTTATTACCGTAGCGTCAGGGAAACTTGTGGCAATGATAATTCAGTATAGTCTCTGAGAGTCTCTCAGTCCGTGACGAACGCCTTAATATAGGGCCACAAAGTATAAGAAAAATCGACATTATGGTAGAATCGATTTTTCCACGTTTAGGAAAATTAGTTAGCATCCAACTTTTAATTACTCGTCTGGATAGTTAAATACTGGCGTCCATTTTGCCTTTGTCTGTACCAGTAATGATTACTGCCACCGTGATGTAAAGCCGGTGACAAAGATTAGAGAGGGTGAACAGTTGAACTGAAGGTCAAAGCGAGGTCAAAGTTTGGGCCTTGGCACCTCAAAACGTTATGCAAACTTTTAAAATGTCGCTAGTCGAAGTGTTGAAAGTAAACGTTGCAGATACGAATGTGTGTTTAAAAGTGAGGGGTCAAGGACAGGTCATGACACATCATCAAACGTAAACAGGGTGAAGGTCATGGGACATGGAGCAAGACAGTGCGCTCAGAACGAGACCTCTGTAATTATATGCATGTAGCGGTACCAATTTAACCAACGATATATTACTTTGGTTGGGAGATTTCCCCAGTGAGATGTCCTTGAAGATTACCTTAAGCTATAAACCTTTGCTAGATAAGATCTCTATGTTTGATGCACGGATTCCATCAGACTATACAGGACTCTATAGATCTACAGTTAGATTTGTTGTGAGAGAATTAACGTTTCGACTTCTTTGTAAGGGGAGAGAATGTGGGTGAGAAACTTCAACAAAGGGAGAGAATGTGGGTGAGAAACTTCAACAAAGGGGAGAGACGTATGGGTGAGAAACTTCAACAAAGGAGAGAGACGTGTTGGTGAGAAACTTCAACAAAGGGAGAAACGTATGGGTGAGAAACTTCAACAAAGGGGAGAGAATGTGGATGAGAAACTTCAACAAAGGGGAGAGACGTGTGGGTGAAAAACTTCAACAAAAGGAGAGAGACGTGTTGGTGAGAAACTTCAACAAAGGGTAGAGAATGTGGGTGAGAAACTTCAACAAAGGGGAGAGACGTGTGGGTGAGAAACTTCAACAAAGGGGAGAGACGTATGGGTGAGAAACTTCAACAAAGGGGAGAGACGTGTGGGTGAAAAACTCCAACAAAGGGAGAAACGTATGGGTGAGAAGATTCAACAAAGGAGAGAGACGTATGGGTGAGAAACTTCAACAAAGGGGAGAGACGTATGGATGAGAAACTTCAACAAAGGAGAGAGACGTGTGGGTGAGAAACGTCAACAAAGGGGAGAGACGTATGGGTGAGAAACTTCAACAAAGGAGAGAGACGTGTGGGTGAGGAACTTCAACAAAGGGGAGAGACGTGTTGGTGAGAAACATCAACAAAGGAGAGAGACATGTTGGTGAGAAACATCAACAAAGGAGAGACACATGTGGGTGATAACATTGAAAAAAGGGGGGAGACGTCTTGGTGAGAAGATTGAACAAAAGGGGAGAGACGTGTGGGTGAGAAACTTCCACAAAGGGGAGAGACGTATGGGTGAGAAACTTCAACAAAGGGAGAGACGTGTGGGTGAGAAACTTCAGCAAAGGAGAGAGACGTGTGGGTGAGAAACTTAACAAAGGGGAGAGACGTCTTGGTGAGAAGATTGAACAAAAGGGGAGAGACGTGTGGGTGAGAATAATGAACAAAGGGAAGAGACGTGTGGGTGAGAAACGTCAACAAATGAGAGAGACTTTTGGGTGAGAAACTTCAACAAAGGGGAGAGACGTGTTGTTGAGAAGATTGAACAAAGGGAGAGAAACGTGTGGGTGAGAAACTTCAACAAAGGGGAGAGACATATGAGTGAGAAACGTCAACAAAGGGCAGAGACGTGTGGGTGAGAAACTTCAACAAAGGGGAGAGACGTGTTGGTGAGAAGATTGAACAAAGGGAGAGACGTGTGGGTGAGAAACTTCAACAAAGGGGAGAGACGTATGGGTGAGAAACGTCAACAAAGGGCAGAGACGTGTGGGTGAGAAACTTCAACAAAGGGGAGAGACGTGTTGGTGAGAAGATTGAACAAAGGGAGAGAAACGTGTGGGTGAGAAACTTCAACAAAGGGGAGAGACGTGTGGGTGAGAAACTTCAACAAAGGGGAGAGACGTGTGGGTGAGAAACTTCAACAAAGGGGAGAGACGTGTGGGTGAGAAACTTCAACAAAGGGGAGAGACGTGTGGGTGAGAAACTTCAACAAAGGAGAGAGACGTATGGGTGAGAAACTTCAACAAAGGGGAGAGACGTGTTGGTGAGAAAATTGAACAAAGGGAGAGACGTGAGGGTGAGAAACTTCAACAAAGGGGAGAGACGTATGGGTGAGAAACGTCAACAAAGGGGAGAGACGTGCGGGTGAGAAGATTGAACAAAGGAGAGAGACGTGTGGTTGATAAGATTGAACAAAGGGGGGAGACGTGTGGGTGAAAAACTTCAACAAAGGGGAGAGTCATATGGATGGAAAGACTGATCAAAAGGGAGAGGTGTATGGGTGAGAAGATTGAACAGAAGGGAGAGATATGTGAGTGAGAAGATTGAACAAAGGCCTGTTGTATAAGATTCTACACCCTGATATTCAATGATTCACGCATATTTGGAACGCGCAGTTGCCCTGCTCAGTGTTTGACTACTATTTTGTAAATTTTATTGTAAACAGTTTGTGAGCAGGCATCTTTCTTTCTTTAACTAAATTGAAACTAATTGGATTCTAAATTATTCAGAACACAAAGAAAACATGCCAAATTAGATTCTTGTTATCGACACCGCCAGGGTGACGAGTAAACGTTTGGAGGAAATTAAACGGGTTCACATTAAAACCAAGTCGACTACGGAAGGAGAGTGAATGTCTTCCTCGGTGCTAGTTAGATTGCCATGCGCGATAAAGGAGCTTGTTCAGGGCTGTCGATTGATCCAGAGTCGAGTAACTGTAATTGGCAATTATTCTAAACGTAATTCCTTGTATTTATTAGTTTAAAATACGTATGGGGACGTACAGTTCAAGTTTAGCCAGCTTTTCACTTTTTAAAACATGTCAATATTACAGACTGTATTTAAATATTCTGTTACGGCATTTGACAAAGTTAATTACTTTCAAATGTGACGTGGATTTAACTATAATTTAGTGTGACAGACACACAAAGCGTAATTCCAATGATTTATGGTCGATATAGAAAACGCGTGCAAACGGGACCATTTCTCATACTGATGCACTGTGACACTACAAGCAGTTTACACAGTGTATTTTATACTTATCACAGAAATCTCACTGGGCGTGCCGTAATAGGGCAGATTGTAAGTTTGTATAAAGCTTTAAAGAAAGAGTTGTCAATGAACAACTAAAATGAATATCTGATGTCAGTGCACGAGATATAAATACATGCATTGTTATAAGATGATCTATTAATGTAGGACGTTCATCAACAGCATTATACAATGAATAGAATAGTCCTGTTTTATGACTAATCCATGTTGTATTTCAAATCATGGTGGATATTAATCGTATCAAAATTACACTATTGAAATATTCATACTTCTCGATGAAGTTACGTTGGTTCTCAACAGCCAGGAGGTAATTTTATGATTTCATGCACTTTCCATTTCATCATCACGATTAGTCACTGTGGTTGGTGGCATTTTTACGTTACCAAGGTTACTAAAAGTGATAAATTACCAGGGTTACTAAGAGAAATAAGTTATCAGGGTTACTAAGATTGATAAGTTGCCAGGGTTACTAAGATTGATAAGTTATCAGGGTTACTAAGAGTGATAAGTTACCAGGGTTACTAAGATTGATAAATTGCCAGGGTTACTAAGATTGATAAGTTACCAGGGTTACTAAGATTGATAAGTTATCAGGGTTACTAAGATTGATAAGTTGCCAGGGTTACTAAGATTGATAAGTTATCAGGGTTACTAAGATTGATAAGTTATCAGGGTTACTAAGATTGATAAGTTATCAGGGTTACTAAGATTGATAAGTTATCAGGGTTACTAAGATTGATAAGTTACCAGGGTTACTAAGATTGATAAGTTACCAGGGTTACTAAGATTGATAAGTTACCAGGGTTACTAAGATTGATAAGTTACCAGGGTTACTAAGATTGATAAGTTACCAGGGTTACTAAGATTGATAAGTTATCAGGGTTACTAAGATTGATAAGTTATCAGGGTTGCTAAGATTGATAAGTTACCAGGGTTACTAAGATTGATAAGTTACCAGGGTTACTAAGATTGATAAGTTACCAGGGTTACTAAGATTGATAAGTTACTAGTATCAGGGTTGCTAAGATTGATAAGTTACCAGGGTTACTAAGATTGATAAGTTACCAGGGTTACTAAGATTGATAAGTTACCAGGGTTACTGAGATTGATAAGTTATCAGGGTTACTGAGATTGATAAGTTACCAGGGTTACTAAGATTGATAAGTTACCAGGGTTACTAAGATTGATAAGTTATCAGGGTTACTAAGATTGATAAGTTATCAGGGTTACTAAGATTGATAAGTTATCAGGGTTACTAAGA